TCCAGCTAAAACCAGCCAACCAGCCCTAGGCAGGTTTAAGGTGGATTTTTCAGCAGGGAAAGCACGCTTGTCCCCTCTCCCGTCTCCCCCGACGGCCCGCACTCACATTACATTCGGGCCTGGGCACACTTAAGGCATTGATGCTGCGCTGTCGCTCAGCACAGTGGAGATTTCTTCAGTCATATCGCTTTAGTCGTTTGATATGCGGTGACACGCAGTCAAACATTTCGCAGAACAGATCAGCCACTTTTGACGCTCATAAAGAATAATAAAGTCCTCGTGCTGCAGGAATTAGGAGGTTTGCTGAAGGTGCAGCTGTGGTGCAGTGAGGGGTTTGCGTCTTTAATAATCTACGACAGTTTGCGTTCATTGAACTGTAAGAATGATTAATAAATCTATATCAAACAGTCACTTAAAAGTCACGTCTTACTTTCAGTTTCGGGCTCAGGCGCGCTTTGCACTCACACACTCGTACCCCGCCAAAGCCCAAGAGAACCGCAGCCCGATTCAGAGCACTCACACTTCTCAAACGATACGGGGAACAGGCCTGGGCACGGTTCTGATAGCATAGTGAGAGTAGGCCCTTAAAGACAAACCAAGCCCAAGCCAAACTAGTTGTGGGGGAGGGGTTGAATTTGGCCCAAAATCTGTTTATTTTTGTAAAAACATAATCTTTTAACACATTAAACTGATTTAAATGTTTCTGCGTAATAGGTTCCACAGGATCATTAAAACATCCCTTTTCATATCTACAACTGTATACAGTTAAAGTCAGAATTATTAGCCCCCCTGAATTCTTCATCCACCAGTTTATTTTTCCTCATTTTCTGTTTAATGGAGCAAATATTTTGTCAACACATTTCTAAACACAATAGTTTTAATAACTCATTTCTAATAACTGATCCATTTTATCTTTGCCATGATGACAGTAAATAATATTTTAACAGATATTTTCAAGACACTTCTATACAGCTTAGAGTACCATTTAAAGGCTTAACTAGGTTAATTAGGGTTACTAGGCAGGTTAGGGTAATTAGGCAGGTTATTGTATAACAAGGGTTTGTTCTTTAGATTATAGAATAGTAATATAGCTTAAAGGGGCTGATAATTTTGTCCTTAAAATGGTTCATAAAAAAATATAAAACTGCCTTTATTCTAGCCAAAATAAAACAAATAAGACTTTCACCAAAAGAAAAAATATTATCAGACATGCTGTGAAAATGTTCTTGCTCTGTTAAACATCATTTGGGAAGTATTTAAAAAACAAAAACATTATAAAAAAAATCAAAGGGCTATTAATTCTGACTTCAACTGTATATATAGTTTCCCTTTGTTGTATTTTTACAAAAAAAGGGATATTGAGAAGAAAACTGGCCAGTAAAGTCACTAAAGTTAACCAAACTGCATTCTGCTGTCTTACGCTTTCTGTTAAACAGGTTAATCAATAATTGATTGGGATATACAGTTGAAGTCAGATTTATTAAACCCCCTGAACCATTAGCCCCGCTGTTTATTTTTTTTCCTCAATTTCTGTTTAACGGAGAGCAGATTTTGTCAACACATTTCTAAACACAATAGTTTTAATAACTCATCTCTAATAACTGATTTATTTTATCTTTGTCATGATGACAGAAAATAATATTTGACTAGATATTTTTCAAGACACTTCTATACGGCTTAAAGGGACATTTAAAGGCTTAACTAGGGTAATTAGGGTAACTAGGCAGGTTAGGGTAATTAGGCAAGTTATTGTATAACGATGGTTTTGTAGACTATCAAAAAATATAGCTTAAAGGGGCTAATAATATTGTCCTTAAAATGGTTTTTAACTGCTTTTATTCTAGCCGAAATAGAACAAATAAGACTTTCTTCAGAAGAAAAAATATTATCAGACATAGTGTGAAAATTTCCTTGCTCTGTTAAACGTAATTTGGAAAACATTTAAAAATTAAACAAAAATTCCAAAAGGGGGCGAATAATTCTGACTTCAACTGTAATTATTATTATTATCCCTATTATTAAATTGTAGTATTTTCATAGCAATATCAACTACCCCTTTAATATGTACAAGAAACAAAATGAAGGAGCTTTGACTGCACATCCTCTGAGGAAGAATGACAGAGTGCGTCAATTACATTAGGTTTCCATTCCCACCCATGAACTGTCAGTCACTGATATGCCCCCCACCAATTTAAGTTTGAGACCCCTGATTTAGACTGAAAAAACAAAAGGATTCGATTTTAATACTTTTCAGGCTGCAAACATTTCAGTGCACTGCAATAATTCAGTGATTGAGACAGCATTAAAAAGGCTGATGCCCTAATCAGTGCACTGACTACTGAACAAGGCTTCTGATGGGACGCACCCCATGTCAGACCTGCCAAGTGCACTCTATGCAGAAGTGTATGCTGTATTTAAAGAAGTAAATCAATAAAATCAGGCATCAATACCTTCTCTGCTTTCTCCTCTGGTTCATCCTCACTCAGGAACTCGCGTTTGGGGTAGGGGATCTGACAGCCGGCAAACACACTGAAACACAGAGACAACGTTTTTTTTACAGGGGCAGCCACTGATTCCTGTTTGGTAGGTGTGTGTGATATGATGATACAGTTGAAACCAGAACATACATTGTATAAAAAGGCACATAACCATTTTAAAAAGTCAGATGTTAATGTGACTGAACCTGTTCTCTTTTAGGTGAGTTTGAGGATTATCAGATGTGTTTCTGTTCTGCTTAATAGCAGAATAATGAGAGAGGTATTTGTTGAGAAATTGTTCTAACTCTTCTTGACAGTCAAGTTTACATACAATAGGATTATTCTGCCTCTGAAAAAGCTCAGATGATGTCAAGGTTTTGGAAGTTTCTGATTGGCTAATTGACAACATTTGAGTTAATGTGAGGCAAAACTGTAGAATAGTATTGAAGGAAAAGCTCAAACACACTGCTTCCTTGTGTGACAACATGGGAAAATCAACAAGCCAGAATCAACACAAAAGCCAGATTACAATTTGCTCAATTACACTGGAAAAAGACTCATGTTTGGAGACATGTCCTGTGCTCTGATGGAGCTAAGATTGAACTGTTTGGCCATAATGACCAGTGTTACATTTGGAGGATAAAAGGGAAATCAACAAGCCTAGGATCACCATCCCAACTGTGAAGTATGGGGGCGGCAGCATCATGTTGTGGGGCTGTTTTGCTGCTGGATGGACTGGTCCACTTCACAGCATAGATGGCATCATGAGGAAACAACATTATGGAGAAATACTGAAGCAACATCTCAGGACATCAGCTAGGAAATTAAAACTTGACCATTAATGGCTCTTCCAAACAGACCATGACCCTCAGCATCCTGCCAAATTAGTTCAAATGTGCTTTTAGGGCAACAGAGTGAATGTTTTGGAGTGGCCATCACAAAGCCCTGAACTCAATCCTATAGAACATTTGTAGGCAGAGTTGAAAAAGATTGATCGAGCGAGACTAATCTGACTCAGTTACAGCAATTCTGTCAGGAGGAATGGGCCAGAATTCATTCAAACTACTGTGAGAAGCTTGTGGAAGGAGACCCAAAACATTTGACCAAAGTTATACAGTTTAAAAGCAAAGCTAAAAAATACCAAGGAAATGTGTGTAAACTTTTGACTGTCTAGAAATTATACGATATTGTGATTTATAGTTGAAATCAGAATTATTTGCCCCCCTTTGAATTTTTTTAAAAATATTTCCCAAATGATGTTTAACAGAGTAAGGAAATTTTCACAGTATGTTTGATAATATTTTTTCGTTTGGAGAAAGTCTTATTTGTTTTATTTCGGCAAGAATAAAAGCAGCTTTTAATTTTAAACACCATTTTAAGGTAATTAATAAGCCCCTTTAAGCTATATACATTTTTCAATAGTCTACAGAACAAACCATCGTTATACAATGACTTGCCTAATTACACTACCCTGCCTAGTTAACCTAATTAACCTAGTTAAGCCTTTAAATGTCACTTTAAGCTGTATAGAAGTGTTCTGAAAAATATCTAGTCAAATATTATATACTGTCATCATGGCAAAGATGAAGAAATTGGAGAGAGAAAATAACAGGGGGGTGAATAATTCAGGGGGATAATAACTCTGACTTCAACTGTTTATCGTTATCAGTATATGAAAAGACGTATATCATGATAAGAGATTTTTGTGCTATCACCCGCCCCTAGCAACTGGTGTTCATGCTGCAATAAAAGCTGTTTTGAACATGAAAATATCTGTTGTACGCAAGACTACATGGCCAAGAGCAAACAAACACCCCCTTATAATTAAAGGGTTTGCCTGAAAGCTGTCATTTCAGTGAAGGCCAGTCAATGTATTGCAACATCACAAAAAACTCAGAGAATCTGTACAAAGGCTAGATCTTAAGGATGATTACTGTGATTGCAGGTCAGACCCAGCCGCCACTGCGCTCTATTATGAAAACACTGCAAAAATGCCTCTAATGCCGAGTTCAGACTGCATGATTTTCAAAGCCGTCGTGTCACAGATGTTTTCACACTGCATGTCTGCATGACTATCTGGGCTAGCGTTTCGTCGCTGCTTTGTTTACACTGCAAGATGGATCGGCGACAGGGGCTTTCACATTGCATGACTTTACTATAGGAAGAATCGCCGACAACTTCGTCCAAACTACGTCTCACAGCCAAAAACACGCAGTATATCTTTTGTTATTAACTACATAATGAGAAAGAAGCCTTTAATGGGGTAGAACATGTACATGTTTGCTCACCTGGGTTTAAAGGGAATTAGCCATTTCTCCTCAACGTTGATAATAAACTAATTTCTTTCTGTATGAAACGTCAAACAGACACGGTTGCTCCTGAGTCCTGTCAAACCTCCACTAGTTTTTCCTCCATTTCGTGGGTCCAAATAAACCGAAAAAGAGCGCTGTTAACTTCTCCCCCAGCCTCCCGCTGGCCTGCAGCAGGTATACACACACACACACACAAGTGAATGCCGCTCTCTCATTGGCTGTAGGCGATCGCTGATGTTATTTTCAGTCAAAACTCAATTCACACGGCATGATTTGAATCGCCGACAGCTCCAGATATTCAGCATGCCAGATATCACAGGCATCGGCGACTCATCTGCGATTCTCTCAGATGGCGTCTTTGATCGTTCATACTGTGTGATCGTCACTCACGTGCACGAGCAGCGATTTGCCTGTGATTTCAGGCATTTGTCAGCGATTTCTCAAAACCTGTCGGCGAGCCAAAACCGGGGCTAAAATCACACAGTCTGAACTAGGCATTACTTTAATTTTT